GCTCAGCCCACCAGGGGGCGGGCTGGCTGGCATGTGGTGCTGGGGGATTGAACCGCGGTCCCTGATGCTTTTGCTAAGCTTGTTCTAAGTAGGTGCTCTAGACCACTGAGCCATCTCTCCAGCCCTTTCCACTTTTCTTAAGTTTCTGTTTAAAATTACCTTGAGAAAGCGCGAGGCAGTGATACCGTTTGAGGAGAGGAGAGCGCTGGTTACCCCGTGACACGCATGTTCGTGTACACACTTTCCTGCTGCACCCGGGTCTGCACGGTCACTGTCTGACGTTCAGAGAGGAAGGCAGGCAGGAGCTGTCATGTGTGCCCATGTGTTTGACTCCCGGAAGCCATTTCTAGCGCTTTACTCAGCCCTGGATGGGTTGATTGGGTTTCAGAGGCTGCAGACACCGCAGGACGCGTTTCCCGTCTGGGGGCTGCAGGGCGCTTCTCCACCCACTGGCATGCTTTCACCCTATCCCTGGGTCACAAGTAGGGAGCAGAAGCCGAGTTCTAGTTTACCTTCACATCTACAAGGGCAATTCCATACTAAAGACCAACTAAGTAAAAGAAGGTGCGATAGTTGGTTACTAGAACCGTGGCCGTTCACGGTTTGTCCTGGAGGAGTCTGTCTGCACCTTCCTTTGAGGCTCTTGGAGCCTTGAGGTGGGGGTCAGAGTGTGCCAGGCAGCGAGGTCTCCTGGGGCTGGGCCAGGCTGGAACGCTTGTGAGCAGGGCTGCTCTCTGAATTGCAGACTTAACCTTGAAGGGAGGAGGAGTGGGTCACTCCAGCTGGGTGTGCTCCTGGCCCGCCTGTCTGAACCCACACGGCAGGTCTAGCTGGGGTTCAGCCTGAGAGTCTAGCCTGCTGCGCGCTGGCTAGATGTGTCTGCCGTGTCCCACGTCCTGATGGCTCTTTCCCGTTCCCCACCTCACTAGCTAGGCCCCGTGTGTCCCGTGAATAGCTTTGCTCCTGTTTCAGCGCTGGTGCCTGGGTGCTGCCGCTGCTGGGTTGCAGTTAGCCAAGACCCTTGCTTGAGAAATTCTGCAGTGTGAGTCAGTCCTGTCTGCCCTGTTGCGGAGTGACAGGTCAGACAGCTCTATCCTCATGGTTTTCTTACCTGTGACATCTGGGCCCTGTAGCCGCTGCCCAGATGGGCCCTGGAGGTGAGCTGGCTGCCTGTTACTTGGAAAAGCGTTAGTGCCTCTCATTTCTGAGGAGTCCGTTACTGGGCAGGAAGTTACCACTGTGGCCAAGGGTGAAGAAATACTAGTGGTTGGTGAATTCGTAATGTCTGTACACCTAGCTAAGAATATGCTCGTGGGGATAGCGCAGTGTGGGGTCACTAAGAATGAAATGCATGACATGCAAATAATTTCAGCGTAAGTTGTTCTTAATGTGTTGCTTTTGTTTTGTAGCTCGGACCTGGCGTTTGACCTGGAAGGATATGTTTTTATTCTGATAAATGATGTCCTGACAGCGGCAAATGGCGCATATGTGAAACAGAAACTGGACTCTAAAGTAGGTAGTAGCCCAGTGCTTTCTATTAGATGTTTGCTAGCACTGGGAACTGGGATGCCTGTTTGTTGGGAAGGTGTGGAACAGAAGCACTTCTGTGGGTCAGTCGATATGTAGTACTGAACGGTGAACCTAGGGCTGCAACCCTAATCTTTTATTTTCCTTTTTGAGATTTGGGGGCGGAGAGGGGGTGTTTCACGAAGTTGTTAAGTTGTCTAGAGGGGCTTGAACTTGCGATCCTCCTGCCTCAGCATGCTGGTGCTGGGCTTCCAGGCCTACAGCTCCGTGTTCATGGTAGCACAAAGGTTTTGCAAGGCTTTTTTGTTTGTTTCTGATACGCTTTCCATATACACACATTCCGCTTTCTGTTAGCTCAAGCCAGACCGTCAGAAAGCAGAGGCTGTGTGCCATGTCTTTTGAGGTTACTGTATGGAGAAAAGGCTGTGTGGAGCGCAGCTGCTATGTCCCGGCCGTGGGGACTGAGCTGGATCTGAGCCGTGGCAGGAGCGTGTGTCTTGGGTGTCCCCGCAGCTTTTCCTGAGAGCCCGAATGTTTTTATCACAACCTGAAGCTTGTAACTGGCTGGTTTGATCACAAGATCACCTCCACTGTCTGTCACCTATGTCCTCCTCAGCGTGGTCTGACACTCCGTTCCATGTGCAGCATTTCTGCACTGGGGATCCTTTCTTGGGCCTCAGATGAGGAGTAAATACATACGCCCTGCTGGACTCCAGGGACAGTGTCTGGCTGATGTTGTCTCGGCCAGGGCTTTGCCTGCTGCAGAAAGCAAGCCAAGATTCTTTGGCTCCTCTAGTAAGAGAGGTGTGTTTTTTTGTTTTTTTTAATATTCTTGAAAAATTAGAGGAGGGTAGATTTGTTTCTTGCACTTTTTCTTTGACTGCAAGTTTAATTTGTTTGGCCTCTTTACTTGGCCTGGATGCTGGATGACCCTACGGTGACTTCGTTTTTACCTTTTTCAAATAAGAGAACAGAAATTTGGTCCTACTCTGTTTTGTTCCTTAGCCTGTTTGTTGTTTTGGAAAATAGACACTAACGATAACATCTCATTACTCAGCAGCTGTAGCTGTCTGGAGTGTTGTTGTCCATATCCGTTTCTGTGATGAGGGGAATCTCACCTCCACCATCATCACCCGTAGCCATGGACACAGGCCAGTGGGCGTGTGCTAAGTGACTGGTGTAACTGAGGAACCAATTAGGATTCTCCAGTAACTACTTTTAAATAGCTACATGGGGTAGGAGGCTACTGTTCTGGACAGTAGCGTCTAGAATCTGGAAAAACAAGTTTCAGAGTATTTTACTCCTAGGAGAGAGCCCTTTAGTTCCTCATGTAGAAGCGGATTATGACTTATCTGTATGTATTAGAGCCTTTTTAAGCTTTTTATTTTGCTTTTCTGAGGTAGGTCTCATGGAACAATCCAGATTAGCTTTGAACTCACGATGGAGCCCAGGCTGGCCTGGACTTGTGGCGGTCCTCCTGCCTCAGCCTTCCTAGTGCTGGGATCACAGGCGTTTGCCACCATACCTGACTGACTTTTCAGCATTTTGATCTGCCTTTTCTAGTTCATAAGTTACAAGCAACAGACAAGCTGGAGTTCTGTTTAGAGGGCCAACAAGATAAATAAACAGGAAAACTGTAAGAGAGAAGCAACAGAAGCAGCACGCAGGGTGGCACGCAGCCGGGCACAGTGCAGTCCTGGGTGCCAACTCCCACAGGCGGTTTCCAGTCGGTGAGCTGTGTAAGGAGCCAGGGAGAGAAGCGTTTAGGACAGTTAAGTAGGACGTTTTGGCAGCGCCTCGCGCAGTGGCGTGCTGGTGTTCATCCGCTGCGCCCTTGCTTCCCGCGCGCTCCTGACTGGGCAGCCTGCGCCTGCCCTTCAAGGTCGTCTTGCTCTGTGTGGCTTGTACCTGCTGCCGCTCAAGTGCTGAACACCTCTGCCTCAGCTCGGGACTTTTGGTGTTTTGTTTACCCCCAGGCAGAGCCGCCACACTGAGGTGCTTTTAATAGCTCTCAAGTTTACAACTGATCCCTTCAGGCTGCTCCTAGGTGCCCTCCTGTGAGTGTGAGTCATGCAGCAGCAGGCTGAGTGCGGTTGGTCGGGACTTCTGTGCAGCTGTAGCAGTTGAAACATTTTTAACTTTCACTGAAGAGGGGAAAAAAAAAAAGATCAAATACCTAATTATTTCCATTCCAGGAGCTGGGAAAATACGGCCTGCTCTACTATAACGCGCTGTTCATGATCCTGCCCACCCTCGCCATCGCGTATTTCACAGGAGATGCACAGAAGGTAGGCCCTTCCCTGGCTGCCTCACTGACCTGCCGGAGGATGCTGGGGTGGTTGACAGGAAACGTGCTGGTCAGAAGAGTGCGTGCTGACTGGTTTCTTTTTTGCCAGCTCAGCCTGTCCTGAGGGCAGCCCTGGTGTGGCATTGGGTGCCCGGGATCCAGCCACAGCCCCCTGCGCTTGCCTGCACTCGCCTAAGCAGGTGCTTTAGACAGGTGCGCTCTCGCTGGCCCTGGCTTCTAAACTGGAAAATAGTAGTAGGAAACTTTCCTTGAAAAACAAAAACTCCTGAAATAGTGCAAGTTTTTAAACCCTGAACAAAATGTTAGGCATCGTGAGAATTCTCTTTCCTCTGGCATCTGTTGTCCTAGCTAAGTCTCAGCTTAGGGGCTGTGTGGTGCTGCACACCTGTAACCCTGGCCCTCGGGCTGAGGCAGGAGGGTGGTCCCATAAGGCCAGCCTGGGCTACACAGCGAGACCGTCTCCAAAAAAATTCCCAACTGATTTATTTTAAGAGATATTTAGTGTTTTGTGGTCCTTTGGCTATATAAATAACAAAGTTATTAACCAATTTTCTGCAAATGTTTAATTATATCCATGACAGAATGGCAGAATACTTTGAAAAATTTGCTCCATATTTCTTGGAGAAAAACAGATATCATACTGTTAAAATTCACAAAATTTGGAACACCAAGTGGAGTGCAGAGTTCTACCGTGGATTTCCGAGCGTGTGCTGAGCCTGTGGCGTGTGCCGTGGCTCTGTGTGTGCAGAACTGCAGAGGTGTGGGCCGTAGGTGAGAGGGAGTCGCTGGGCGGGCAGGCAGCCAGCGTGGGCGAGACTGCTGGCCAGGACAGGAAGAGGCTACTTCAGCCCCGCAGGTGCCATGTAGGCCTGGGCCAAGCACGCAGCTGTGTGCACGTGCACATGTTTGTGTGTGTATATTTAAAGTTTGGTTCGTTAAGTTTGCAAAACCTTGGGTTTATCAGGAGCCAAAGAACCAATATATTTAGTATTTTGTTTTAAATCATGTATTTGCTAAAACATTCAATGACAGCAATAAGAAAAAAACACTGTGAATTACCCAGAGGCTAGCTCGCTGTCCCCCAGGCTGAGGGGCATCACGCCACTTACCTGGCGCCCTTCTCGGAGTGTCCAGGCTGGCGGGTGCTGCCCCTGAAGGCTGTGTCTGTGTGCGTTGGGGGTGGGGGGAGTTAGAGTCTGGGCCTGGCTGGCCCTAGTAGCACCAGGCTAGGTGTGTTTTCCTGGGTGGAGACAGAGCCCTGCTGTGGCCTCACAAGGCCGCTTCTGTGGGCGCTGCTCCTGGACAGTGTGCTCCTTGTGTCCTGGAGCTCAGGCAAGGCAGTGGCCGGCCACTGGCTCCTCAGGGTGTTGAGGCGTGTCCTGCACCCTGGCTGCTGCAGACTTGGCCTGGCCAGGCTGCGGGTCTTTTCTGGGTGGCCCCCGGAGCACATGGGTGGTTACGAGCTGAAGGGCCGTCAGAGAGCTATGTAAGCCAAGTGGCGGGTGAGTCCTCAACACCCTGCCAGCCTCTGTTTTGCTTGGCTTGGTGTGGTTTGGCTGACAGCTTTTGGTGTCTTTGTGTTTGTCTGAGGGTGTGCTCCTGCAGACAGGCGCTTGGGACTTGCTTAGTGGCTTCTGTGTGTGACAGGAGCTTTCAGAGCAGAGGTGGAAGGACCTGAGGTCCCTTGCCCATCCCAGCAGGGAGCGGGAGGCAGAGCAGGACGGGCTGGGGTGCAGGGCTGAAGAGCTCCAGGGGCCCAGCTGACCATGGCCAGTGGCCAGGCCCTGGATCCTTCGAGCTGTGGCTTTTTTTTTTTTTTTTTTTTTGTATTTTTAGGAAGGGTCTACAGGGTGTTCAGGTCTCACTACTGTATCAGACTCGTAGTGATCCTCCTGTTTACAGCCTCCCAACAGCTGGGGTTACAAGTATGCGCCACCACCCCCAGTCTCAGTTGCCGTCTCAGCACACCCCTGGGGATTGAACCCCCGGCCTCTGTACCTGCTTGCAGGTGCTTTTTTCCACCGAGCTATTTGGCTGGCCCTATGGCTTTATTTGTTGTGTCTCAGTTGCTTTTGAGTATGGGTGACAATGTGACCAATGAGGCTCTCGTGTGGGGAGAGCGCAGCGTTGTGCAGTGCCTTTGCAGACACTTTGGCAGTGTCTCACTGAATATATGGAGCAGAGAGAGCCAGAGAGCCTGCCCGCTTTGTAGGCGTTTGCCCAATGTAATAACGATGGACATGGTCTTTCTCTTGAAGTTTCCGTGCAGCCCTGTTGCCAGTGGCAAATCGTGGAGTCAGCCGAGCAGAAGGAAGTCTGGGGTCCAAGGGAGAAGCAAGTTGTCGTGGATCTGGGAAATGACAACCCATGAGTGCCTGTGCCCAGGGTGGCTCTCCCTCTCTGTGTAGATGGAAGAAGCCATGCACAATAGTCCACGTGCCCAGAACACGGGGCTTCGCGGGGTGGGAGGGGACCCGTGGCGCACAGCAGTGGTTCCCGCGTTGGTCGGGCTCAGTGCACTGTGCACTCACAGGCAGTGCGTGCTGCAGTTTATTCCACCACAGTAAGAAAGCCGCACACAAGCTCGGGGTCTGCTGTCTGCTGTGCGCTGAGCTGGTGTGCTGAGCCGGGCACTCTGAGATGGCAGAGATGAGCCCAGCAGGCTGCGCTGCGCATGAAGGTGTTGCACAGCAGCCTGTGTCGTGGTGGGCAGGAGGCGCACCTGTTCATCACCACAAGGCTTTCGGATTTGCCCAGCCCTGGAGCCCTGAGGTGGAGCGACAGGAGGTGGAGCTGGCAAGAAGAGGGTATGGGGTGTTTCTCACACACTCTTCTCAAGCTCAGACTGTAGAGGAGGCTACTCTGAGATAGTCCTCTTTACCGAATGAGCCTGACTTACATGTAGTCCTTCACTTTGCTTTGGTTTTGGTTAACATAGACAAAAGCAATACCCACAACGGTATTACCCACAGCAATACCATGTGAAAATACTGTTTTTCACAGCGCTGTATGTGAACTCCCCAGGGAGGAGACGTATTTTCACTCCAGGAAGTGTGCGGCACCAGGGAGGTATCCTGATGCTTGCTGGGTCACTTGTTGGGAAGAAGGAGCCTGTCAGAGAATGCGCATTGGCTGCAGCCCACGCGTGTGAGCTGCTGATCGTCGCTGTTAAGCGTCGCTGTCTGTGGAGGGAGACCGTCTGGGGTCTGCATCATGCGTGTGTGCGTGAGTGCATGTGTGTGTTCCGGCATGCACAGAGCGCTTCCGTGCAGGAATGGGGTGGCCAAAGATGGAGCCTGCTCTCATGCCCAGCCCTGTCTTGTGTGTTCCAGGCGCTGGAGTTTGAAGGCTGGGCCGACACCCTCTTCCTTCTGCAGTTCACTCTCTCCTGCGTGATGGGGTGAGCCTTGCTGCCTCTCAGCAAATACCTGCCCTGGGGAAGGAGGCCTGTGCCTGTCCGGTCCCGCCTCATCTCTCAGGGTCCTGGGCGCGCTATGATGAACAGCCCTGCCTTCCTTCTGGGCACCGTGTGCTCTCTAGTGCCCACTTAACACATGCTGCTGCTCCCTGTGAGAACGCAGCAGAGCTGGGGGAAGTGAGTGGTGGCAGCTGCAGCATTTGGCGGGGGCTGCTTGACCTCCTCCTGCTGCGCTGCCTTCGCACGAGAGGCTGCCTCTTCCTCTGGTCTGCACACTGGCCTTGTCCCTTCCCTCGGCCATCAGTGTGGCTGTGTCTGGTGACCAGGCCTGCGCGCCGGGGTGTGGTGTCTGAGGACAGTGTGGGCCAGCATGGTATTGAGGCTACCTGCCCTGCCTCCCACTGGCTTTGACTGGTTTTCTCCTGTCCCTAAGAATTTTCCTCGCCATCATCTGGACCCAGAGGTCACGCTGTCGAGGAGGAGGTGCAAGGCTGGGCCTGCCTATGCCTGGTTCCAGAGTCCCAGCATGTGTGCTGTCTGCATGGTGCTTGAGCCATGAATGCAGGCTCACAATGCTGCCTGGGGGTGGCAAGCATGCAGCCAGGTTGTGGGGATGTTGGGCGCTAGTCCGGGCCTTCCTGTGACAGTCTCTCTCCTGCTCCAGGTTCATCCTGATGTACGCCATTGTGCTCTGCACGCAGTACAACTCTGCTCTGACGACCACCATCATCGGCTGTATTAAGGTGAGCTGGAGAAGACACTGCCGCAAGATTCACCGGCTGCATGGTGAATAGTTTCATACATGGTGGTGATAGGTTCTAGAACAATCTCTGGGAGCTCGAGGAAGGTACAGCCACTCCTTACAGGCACTGGGCTCTGGGGTGTGGAGGAGAGCACAGAACAGCTCAGGGCCTCGAGGGCAGTTGAGCAGCCCAGCAGTGATGGCTCACCTTTCTGTCCCTGTGCCTGGCAAGGGCCACACTGTCTCCGCCCTGCTTGGTTCAGGCTGTGATGGGTCCAGGGTGGATGCCAGAAGCTCATCCAGGGACTTACCCTCACCAGAGCCAAGGGTGAAATGGCCACTCTCAAGACCTGTGCCTGATATACTTGGGTGATGTCACCCTGCCCGTGTATGGGAGACTCATGGTCGTCAGCCTGGAGAGCTCAGTTGACTTGGGTGTGGCGTGAACATTCGCTGTGGCTGAAGGCTGCTTTCACTGGACTTGTAGTCCCAGTGCCCAGGAGAGCCATGGCACACCCACATCCTGCATAGAGTGGCAGAATGGGCTTGTGCTTCAAAGCACAGGGTGGAGCAGGGGTTGTCATGGCATGGACGGCTGTCCTGTCACTTCCTTTATGGTGCCTCAGGCAGCTGCAGTGGAGGTGTCCTTCGAGGGATGGTTTCCACCTACTTGTTGGGCTCCCTCTGCACTTGTGGTGGAGGGGGCCCCCTGCAACTCGTGTTAAAATCCAGCCTGGGGGGTAAAAGTCCAGAGAGGATGTGAGTACTTGGCAGGATAGAACTCTCCGTGAGAGCTAACCAGCCACGTGTGTGCCTTCTCCAAGGGCAGAGACAGTGTGTGGAGGGGCCTGGGCCGTCCGACGCGCTGCTCCCATGGTGAGCTCTCAGCTGGGCTCTGGTTTATCAGATGAATGGCTCAGGCGTGAGGGGCAGCTCACTCCTTCAGAACAAATGCCCCAGGGACAGGCGGCCCAGACGTTGGCTGACATGAAAGGAGCAGGAAACCAGCGTGTAGCTTAGGAACAAGCACTGCATTGCGTGGCCATTGCAGGACACAAGACTGTTCCTCTTGCGGTAGTTTAGGAATCCCTTGGACTGTTTGCTCCAGAAAGGCTGGTTTTATTTCCAGCTATAGAGGAGAGAATCAGTGTCACTGTGGGGCCCTTTTGCTTCTGTGCCTCGGCTGTGTGGGGTTCCTGAGTATGGTGTGCCCTCCCCAGGGGGCATCCTCACTGCCCTCCGTCATGGCAGCTTCCCTCTGTCTGGAACATCTCAGCCCCATAGGCCCTGTGATCAGAGTTCTTGTTTCTCTTTGGTGTTATGGGAAAATCCTAGTGAAGGGCTAGAAATTCCTGGACTCCCCCAGACACACCGTGCAAGAAAGCCTGGGAGCCTTGGTTGTTACTCAGGGTTTACAGGTGATTCTCAGGCACGCGCAAGCTTGAGCATTGCAGTTGTGCCTCCGAGCCAGCAGGATAGTCTGCTTCCTAGTAAGTTCCTTTTGGGGGAGGTTGGTGGCTTTTCCTGAAAGCAAACCTTGTTTGAGAAAACATTATATTGGTTAGTATTATTGTCACTGGGACAGAATATCTAACACAACTTCAAGGAGGAAAGGTGTAATCAGGCTCACAGTTTCCGAGGGTTCAGTCCATGGCTGGCTGCTGCAGAGGAGGAAGGTCGTGGCAGGAGGCTGGTGGCGCAGAGCTGTTCAGCTCGCGGTAGCAGGAGCCCAGCAGCAGTGCGCCAGCAAACGCGGTGGCAGGCGCTCCAAGGGCAGCGCTCATGCCCTCCTCTACCTGTGCCTCCTACCAATGTGTCCTGCTGACGAGAACAGTGACCAGGAGATGTGGCTGGAGGGGGTCGGCCAGGAAGTATGCGGCAGTTAAATGTGGAACGTCATTCTCTGCTTATGTGATGACATTAATTTAAAGTGAGCCAGAACGAGCTTGAACCTGGGGTATCAGCAGTGTGTTTAGGCAGAATTCCTTGAAGTGCTGTCTCACAGAGATTCTGCTACGTGCAGTCTCCGTGTTGGTTCAGTTCGAGCCGTCCCCTCTCCCCTTAAGATGCCTGCGTGTGTGCAGTCTTCCTCCCGTGCTGTCCCCTCAGAGCCCGCGGTTGCCCTGTGGAGAGAAAACACGGGGTTTGCTCAGTGAGCTGGGCTCAGCCTGTGAGAGCATTGTTCTTCCAGAAGAGCCGGCTGGGAATGGGCCAGCACCTCTGACTCCATCCTGTGTCCTTGCCGCGCCACACTCAGCTCCGGGTTGGTGGGTTTCTCTTGTAAACAGCCTGTTTGTGTTTTAAGATAGGTGTATGGGTCACAGCATAGAGGAGTTTGTGTGTACTTCTTAAAAACTCAGTTAAATCTGTGTAACAATATTTTGCCATTTTTCTTTTAGAATATATTAATAACTTATATTGGAATGGTCTTTGGTGGAGATTATATTTTCACGTGGACGAATTTTATTGGTTTAAATATCAGGTAAGTAAAAATATTAATTGTAACTGCATTGACAAGTGTCTTAGTAAGGTTGAGCTACTAATGAAATGACAAATTGGCTCACTTAGTAAATGAGTGTTTTGGCGCACCAGCGGTGTACTAGACAGTTAACGTGGCTATTCAGTGCTTCTTTGAGTAGATGGTCTCCTTGGCTTTGCACAGCATTTGGGAAATCTTCCTCAGCCCTCCATCATGTTATGGTGCTAGACGGAGGTGCCGTGTGCGCAGGGACTTTGGGGCAAAGGGCCAGCTCTGTGCTAATCACTCTTCCGGGCTCTGACCTCAGCTCTGTTACTACCTTCAGTGGCGTCAGTGGAGGGTGACTGGGTTGTACAAAAGATCTTTTTTTTCAGTTCTAGTGATTTGAATTTCATAGTTTGAAATATTATTTAAATGCTGAAAAACTACCAGATTTATATTTGGGCCAGAATTTTGTCCCAAGTCAGACGTGGCTATAGAACAGCCCCCTTGATGTCTCTGACTGACAGAATCTGGGTGTGTGGCCTTTTGGTTTCTCAACTCTGTCTCCGTCACCTTGGCGGGAACTCACCCACCAGCTGCTTAGCCCTGAGCCTTGCAGCCATTCTACCTACTCCTCCTCTGTGGCAGCCGTGAGGTGGCAGATGCGGGAGGCAGTGCGTGGCTCCTCACAGGCAGCGGTGGTCTGTAAACCCTGCCCACCCGGCTGAGGTGTTGGATCTCCCGGGGCCAGGCTGGGTTCCCTGACCTTGCTATCCCTCATCACTTCTCAGTGCTGTGGGCAAATGTGCTCTGTGGAAAGAAAGCCAGATGTGTCCTCCTTTGAAGGCCTTTTCCCCACCCGAGTCTCCCAGGCCCCCTTGCTCAGGAAACCCTTCATGCTCTCTCCCCATTCCTGCGTCAGCCTTGGCGTCTGCCTCGTCCTGCTGACCTCCTCCCCACTCCTGACGCTTCCCTGTGGAGCTGCTGGGCTGGGTGTCCCCTCTGCCGGTAGCAGCGTCCTGCTAGGCTGCTGCCCGGTGTGGATGCTCACACCTGCCTGCCTTTGTGCAAACGCTACCTTCTCAGGACAGCTACCCTGCTGATAGTGCGTGGCCCCTAATGGGCACTCAGAAGGAACAGTAGTGACTAAGTTGTATCTGTTACTTCTGATGCTTATTTTGCATTGAGCTCTGTGCCTGGTCTCCGCAGCAGCCCTACAGGACAGTACTGGGAATATTTATTCCATTTCACAGGAGACTGGCAGCTTGCCCCCAGCTACCAGCTGCTGAGGGGTTGATACAGGGTTCTTCTTCCAAGTCTTCCTTCTTAGCCCCAGTATATTCCTCTATAGTATGTCACCATAACAACAATATGCACTAAGACAAATACCTTTTGTGTGACAAAAGCCATTTTACTGTAGCCTTTGTGGCCAGAGCTGGGTCTGCACAGTCTCTGGGAGGGGCCTGGTATTCCTCAAAGTCTTGCTGCCAAGTTGCTCTGGGTCTGAGTTGGCTTTGGTCTCAGTGGCTCTGCCCAGGGCTTGCTCCTTCCAGACCCCTCTGCCTGTGTCCTTGGTGTCCTGGTGCTGGGCTGCTTCTCCCATGAATGGTTCCGTCTGCATGGACTCTGCTCTGTGAGGACAGGGACTCTGCTCTTGGCGGGACTTGGCTGCTGCTGTATGTAGCCTTACACACCCGCCTTCTCTGGATTGCTTTGCCTTGACTAGGCTGTGGCGAGTGCTGCACCGTTCATGACACAAACTGGCAGGACTGAGACGCCGAAACACACGTGTGTGCCAGCTATCTGCTGTGCCCATGGTGGGCTGTGTGTCCTCTGAGCTGAGGGTGTAACCTGGAACTGTCCTGACCAGCGCTGTGCTGCGGCTAGTGCAGGCTGGGTGGCGCAGGGGGCGGCGCAGGCGGTGGTCTCGGGGACTCGGCAGGAGCTGAGGTGTGGGCAGCACAGTCATGGTGTGTTGAGTTCTGAGAGAAGTGTGCATGCATATTTAAGGTTTCACAAGTTAGGAAGAGAGAAAGGACATAAGGGAGAAAATGATGGAAGTCGTCTCAAACACCAGTGTGCCTGAAAGGAAAGGACAATCCCCAAGGGTGATGGAGCCCTGGCCCGGAACACTGAGGAAAATGTCCAGGTTCATGTCCCCTCCATTTCTCTGTAATGCAGCCTTTGAAGAAACCCCTGCCTGTACTCGGGGCCCACAGAGACTATCCTCCCGACTGCAAGCATTAGTAACGCAGACGCTGTGCCATCGAGGCTGGGAGTGCTACGCAGTGCAGGGTTTGGGTCCCTTGGTTCTAAGTTTACTCCTGGGCATCCCCAGAGCTGCCAGGCAGATGGGGTGGCTTGTGCCCTGGCCAGGCTTGCGTGAGGAAAGTGGTGTTTTAGCGCGAATGCAGGAGCAGGGTGAGAAGACCCCGGGTTATGCGGGCGGGTGAGTCATGTATGTGGCCCGGCTGTGAACCCTGGCCAGGTGCTTCGCAGGCTGCCAGCCGGCTGCTCAGGGGCCTTTGGAGGCGGCCTGTGCTCCTGTTCAGCGGTTCCGCATCACACTGCCCAGCTCAGCCCCAGGGGTTCAGCCTGCCCCAGGGCGCACAGCCCTTGCCCCCTTGCAGTGATGCTGCAGCTCCCAGGGCAGGAGAGCTGCGGGGTGCAGGTCCGAGACACGTGACCTGGAGTCCCATGCACACCAGGGCCAACAGCCCACGGAGGGCAATGGGGGCAGCCCGGGTTTCAGACCCTTCACCGGCCGAGGGGTTGATTTGTGCACCAAGTGGTCACTGGCCTGCCCTGCAGAGGCGGCGCCCAGGCGTGGTGAGGTCGAAGTGCGGTTCCCCCGACCTGGTGCGGGTGAGGGGACAGATGGGCCGTGGAACCCGGGATCCGTCTCCCCTCTGTGTTGGCTCCATAGCAGCGCTGTCCCCTCCGTCCTGTCACTGGGGCAGCGCAGGGCAGGAAAGGAATTTAGCGCCACCTGGAAAGGCGTCCCGCCGGCACGCGCGTGCGCAGCTCCACAGCCCCTCCGAGTCACGCGTGTGCTTAATCCAGGCAGAGTTGGCTGGGTGTGGGCGTTGGGACGTGACTCTCCTGAAGGTGTCGCTGCCTCTTAGCGTTTCTTGCCTTCTTGGTGTAAGCGCGGTGTCTTCTCACGGTGAGGGGCCTACACGGGCGCTGACCAAGTGGCCGCGCCTCGGAGCGCCCTGCCCGCCCGCCCACCCCGGCCTCACCCCGGCCTCACCCCGGCCCTCTCTCGCAGCATCGCGGGCAGCCTGGTGTACTCCTACATCACCTTCGCCGAGGAGCAGCTCAGCAAGCAGGCGGAGGCCGGCGGCAAGCTGGACGTCAAGGGGAAGGGAGCCGTGTGAGGAGCTGCGTGCGCCGTGTGGCCCGGGATGGCCGCTGCCTAGGAGGTTCTGTGGGAGACCTCGGAATAGACTGGTCTTTGGAGTTAATTTATGTCGGACTGGAAAATGTTCTGGGCTTTTTAATTTATTTTTTCTATCCTGATGGTGAAACCCCTGGGTCTTGAAAGTGTTCTGTCCCACAGTTTGCTGCCGGCACCCCAAGACCCGCGTCCGTCCTGCGCCCAGCGGGTCACGGCCACTCCCTGAGCAGGCCGGCCTCTCGGGCCAGAGCAGCCCTGGAGCGGCCGGGCCTCCTCCGCCCCCTCGCTGCCGCTACCCAGGACCCCAGGGGCTCGGGGCAGTAGAATTTGAGCCCCGTGGGGTGGGGCCGGGTGGCTGCTGTCCGTCCCAGCCCTGCCTGCCGGGCGCGTTGCGGCTGCCTCGCTCTCTGGCCCAGCTCGCTGCCTCTGGCCCCCAGCGAGCAGCCGGGAGGTGGCCGGGACCAGCGCTGGGCACTTCGACCCTGCACCCCAGGGACCTGCGTACCCTTCTTTACCCTGCCAGGGGACGGAGCAGCGGTGCGCGTGCCTAGGCCTCTCCCGACTCCTCTGATGTGCAGTTGTGCCAGCAGGGAGAGGTGACCCATGCTCAGCCCCTTCCGAAGCCCACAGAGCAGAGCGCTGGAACGCCAGGTCGGATTGGGTGCCAGGCCATATGGCTGGGTCTTCAACGGGCTCCCCTCGGCTCCGGGAGCACCCTGTGTAGTCAGGCCTTGGCGACTGCTGAGCGGACCTTGGGGACACTGTACAGTGAGACGGCAGCGGACCCTGGAGAGGGAGGCCGTTGGCTTCCCCAGCTCCCGAGGCCCGCCCCGTCCCCAGTGCGGTCTTTAGCTGAGGTCATGCTGACTAAGCGCCGCCCCAGGGAGGCCCAGGCCGTGGGGATTCTGCCCTGTGGTGCCCCTGAGGGTCGTGGGGTGGGAGGAGGCCTCTCCAGCTGGTTTGCAGGCGTCCAGGTGGTGGGGTACCCATGAGCTTCCCAGCACAGCGCTCAACTTTGCATCGCTTGAGACCTGAGGAATCAGTCCCTTGTGGGGCACACACAAAAGTGCAGTTCGCAAGCTGCCTGTCACAGTCGTCAGCAGCAAGGGGTGGGGACGGTGGTGACGACTGTGGAACTCAGTGACAGTGGGCCGCTGGTTCTGTGCTGGACGAGGCGGTGTGGGTTTGGCTTCTCATAACTGTGGGTGGCCCTGGGGGAGCAGCGTTCACAGGCTGGCTCCACAGGCCAGGCGGGCACTGTGGCCCCTGGGGGTGTAAGTGATTTGTTGTTTTGTTTTAAAGAACAAATTACTTAGGGGTAAAAAAATTTTTTTTTCTTCTATCTTAGAGAACCTCCACTTCATAGTGGTGATTCGATTAAAACCTCGTCTCAACCTGCCAAAGGTAGTCCTGTGCAGGTGAGACCCTCTTCCATTGTAGAATTCTGCTGGACGCAGGTGGCCACAGCTGCCAGTGCACCACCGCGCTCCCGATCCGCTCACCAGCTCCTACTCCAGGGCCTTGTAGGAGGAAATACGCCAGTGTTCTCAGTTTTCTAAGGCTTTCTTTAGTTTCAAAATCCTTTTTAAAAAAGAAATCTACTGGTTAGATTTGCTATCTCATAAAAATGTTTTTAGAGATTATTTTATGAACATTTTCTCATGCTGATGACCAACTTGATTTTTGTCTACAAATGTTAACCTCTCACGATATTTTTTCAATATAGATTTATTCTATTTACCAAGTTATTTTTTAAAGGTACTGAGGGTTGAGTCATGTAAATCAGGTGATATAAATATGAAAATTATGTGCCTAAATATTTTTGTTAATGGTGTCAAATAAATACTTTTTCCTGGAAATGTGTGGGAATTCCTTTTGAAACGCACAGGGACTAGCCCAGCAACAGGTGTGCTCACACTTAGGAGGCAGGCAGGGTGCTGACAGAGCTCTGCACTGACAGGGCCTGCCTCACCGCCTGCTGGGGCTGGGGCAGCTTCCGCCTCCGCCTCCACCTGGAGGGGCTTCCCAGGCCTGGCCCAGCCAAACCTGGCCCAGCCCTACAGCTTGGGCGAGGCAGGCCAGGGGGAGGAGCGCGAAAACCCACTGGTGAGATCGCCTGTAGGATGCACACCCACCCTCCTGCTTCTCACCTTGTAGCTGAACAACGAAGCTCCAGAACGCTTTCATGTTTTTGAGCCCCAAAACCCACCTGCATCTTCCTTCCCTGGGCCCTGGGCTCTGTGCTGTGGTCCCTCAGGCACGTGGTGAGATGGTATCTGTCACTTAGGGACTGGTGTGTTGCTCTTGTCATCTCCTTGAGGTTCATCTGTGTTGTGTCAGCATTTATTTTGGTTTTGGAGACATAGTCTCCCTATGTATTTGAGCCTGGTCTTGAACTCACTGTGGAGTTCTGGATGGGCTGGAACTCCTACGGTCCTCCTGCCCCAGCCTCCCCAGTGCTGGGATTACAGGTGTGTGTCACCAGGCCCGGCTGTGTGTGAAGGCTGAACTGTACATGCCTCCTGGCCATCTATCCTCTTTAGAGGAGTATCTACTTAAATCCTTATTTTTTAGTTCAGGTTGCTTTTAAATAAGAGGTTCTCGTTATGCACAGGGCTTCTGCCCAGGCACCATGCTCGCTGCCTCTGCAGCTGCCAGGCAGGTCAACTGGTGGCCTGGTGCGATGACAGTCTGCTTCTTGGCTGGGCCGGTGCCTTCCTGGTACTGCTCTCTTCTGTGGTCCTGGTGCACTGCACAGACATCAGGGGAGCTCTGACTTCTTTGCCTGTTTCTTTCCAAAGAATGCAGCCTTGGAACTTTCCTGGAAGCCACAGGGAATGCAGTTTCCTTTGCAGCTCTGGCCACTCCTGTGCATGTCCCCAGCTTTCCAAGGTTTGGGGACAGTGTGGCATACTGAGGATACACAGGACAGTTCCCTCTCCTGGGAACCGTGGCAGGAAAGGCTTTCAGGAAGGCTGATTTGCTGCCAGGTCTCAGGCACAGCTGTGCCAGGGACCATCAACGTGTTGCAGTCTTGCCCAAGGTCACACAGGATCCAGGGACTCGCGTGGTGCAACGCAACTGTCTTCACCCTAATCACCGTCAAACTACTGGGTAACTCACTCTGTGGGTCATTCCAAGACCTGTGACACTGGGTCCCTGCCTGGCCCAGCAGGTGTCACTGGGCCCTGCCCATCACTATCTTGCTCACAGCCCTTCTGTTCTTAGAGCTTCCTGGCCATTTTGCTGGATTGTCTTCTCAGCGTGGACTTGGGCAAAGGTGGAATGCTCTGATGGCAGGGAATGTCTCCTCACCTCCAGTACACATCTTCCTCGAACACAAAGTCCTGACTTAAGATACATGAACCAATTCTAGAGCTGGTGATGCATTCCTGTAACCCAGTAACCCAGCACTCGGGTTGAGACTGGGAGGCTGAGACAGGAAGATCAAACGTCAGAGTCTGAGCTGGGAGGTTTAATAACTTGGCAAGACCCTGTTCCCGGCCAAGAAAGTGGGGGATGTAGCTGAGCTTGATGTCCATAGTTCACTCCCCAGTACCCTCAGACTTGACACACACCCAGCTCCCTGAAGGGTGATCGTATGAAGTGTCAGTGCCACCTTATGGGAGGCTGGTGAGTGGCATGAAACGTGGGCCAACGCCAGGTGGAGGGTGGGGTGGGGACAAGGTGTACAGGCCAGGCTGTGCGGGCGGACCACTCAGATCCACCCCAGGGGGCACGAGGATGCCCACATGGGCAGATGCATGCACCAGCCTCAGGGGCTTTCCGCTCTTTGGCAGTCAGGAGCTGCCTTCCTCATGCTGCCCGCATCCCTCGCTCCCATGTAGGTGGTGGCCGTGGGTCCTGCTCTGTATGCTGGTGCTCCTGGGCCCACGGTGGCTGCCCCAGCAATTCAGCCACCGCTCTCCACTCCACAGGGAAGGAGCAGCTTGTGGGGGCCACAAGCCAAGACCCTTGTTTAGGTCCCAGCTCTGTGCCAGTGCCACACTCAGCCCAAGCTCCTGCCCGGTGCCTCTTGGAAGCCCACTCACCCTTCCCTGTGCTGAGTGCCTGGTGCTTCCAGCAGACAGGCCACGTTGCATACTGTCCAACAGCGCAGTACAAATCCCACAGCGAAAGCAGGGAAGGCAGCATTTGGCCTGGGTGGAACAGTGCAAAGCAACCAGGTACTCAGATCCTGCACCAGGCCAACTGCCTGCGTTCATCTGTGATTCAGACATTCAAACCTAGCAAACTCATCTCATGAAAATCACAAACCACACTTGCACACAAGTATGCTTACAAAAATATTTTAATAAGCATATTCAGAGTGGCAGAGGGAATGGGAGAAGGAAAATATTTTACAGTGCAAAATTACTATGCATAAATTTAAAAACATTAATTCATAATTTTAAATGCCTATTTAAATATTACTTCAAATACGTTTTAAAGCTCAACAGATTTGTGTTGAACTGAGTTGCAGATGAGGAAACCTGTTTGAAAACATCAGAACACAGAAACTCCATTTTAGATGAAAAGGAGGGCGCTCCCGGACAGGTGAGGCGGGCGGTCACTGAGAAAAGCTGCTTTTCCCAGTGCAGTTTGTCAAAAGTTCAAGACTTCCGCAAGGTACTAAGTCTTAAGCAAATTAAATTCATGATATTACTAAGATTCTTAAATAGTGCAAGGACTTAGCAAGTTATAGTGGCTGCATTCTGAAGAGCAAAGTGTAATTCAGTGTGTACGCAAAGCCGAGCACTACATTTCAATAGTGGAATGTCTTTCATTATGTGTACTTTAAAAAGAGAAGTAAAAATTCCTAACATTTATACATGTGCCATTATTTGCAAACATGCCTGAGAATTTACTTAAAAACATTCCTGTATCAATGGTTTGCAAGAACTTCACAAACCAGCAAATAAAATGCATCTTTAAAAAGGTGAAAATGCTATTGTTCATATTGCAACAACTGAAAAAGTACAGCATCACTATTCCTTTAAAACATTTCTGTAGACCCATCTTTGACAAAGAGCTAGGATGCTTTGGATTCATTCATAAAATCTGATTTAGAAAGTGGATTGTGGGTCATCTGCTAAAGCTGCTGCCATAACTGGATAGTTGTAAGTAAAACAAATCACTACAAAGTCCTGCTCTCCTACACCTCACCTGAGCCTCGATCCCTTGGATCCTTAGGCAAGGCCGGAGCATGCACCAGGAGGCTAGGCCGGGGCCGGCAGGAGGGGCCAGACACTGGTTCGCCCAGCTGCTGGCTTCCACGCTGAGCTGCTCCAACCAGACACCGGCTTTAAAAGGCAGTGGCTCTGGACCTCACGTGAGCCGGGCGCCAGCAGAAGCATCTCTGTGCACAGGTGCGAGAAAGCCCTCACCCTTCACAAAGCACGGAGCCCAGGCTGGACTAGGAACTACATAAAATTATGTTTTTTCACAAGAATTCTGCACTAAAACTGCCACATTTACATGATGATAGAAAATTCTCTGTAATCACACCCAGAAGCAGGTACTGTTTATCTTATTTTCATTTTGGAAAAACATCATTAACCTGAACAGCTGGACCATGACCGGCAAAGTCTGCAAGCCTCAAGCTTCCTGGAATCCGTTATGTGGCCTGTCAGGAGCAACTCCCCACATGTGCCCTGTCTGAGAATCACTGGACTTCGCCTCTGTTGTCTGACGTGAGAATGGGAACTTTTATGATGCATATAAAAATAAGTGAACAGGATTCTAGTCAGCATGACACATCTAAGCACTTAAGCTGACATTAAACCTTTGTTTTGCTTTAAAAATTATAATAAATGCAAAACGAAGTACAACCTAAGAATCATGCTTAATTTCATAATTCTCAAACTATTTGTCCTTAGGTAGAAATTTGAAAAAATGTTTCACAATCCTTTATGAATGCTTTTACCACCTGGATAAGAAACATGACTTGGTTAACTACACAAACACTTAAAAATTCATTAGAAAAACCTTAGCAAAATAAAATGAAAGCTGACGGACTCAGAATATCAATTCCTCATAAAAGTTTACCAACTGTACAAGTTAAGAAAATTATACAAGCTTTTGTATTAAGAAAGGACAGCTCAGTGAAGACGTATGTACTTGTAAAAATCTTTCAAAGGCTACAAAGAATCTGGAAAAATACAGAATGTATTTCTTAAGCCCAGATAAGAATGTGGAAGACATCACTGATGTCAACAATTTTACATATACAAACCTGACTTGGTTTATTTTTAAACTTCTATATATATAAAAAATCATGCTAGCATAACTTTCAGGATTTGTAAGGGTTTCCTTAATAATGACACTCGATTCAGATGGAGTGAAAATGCCTATTACAAAGGCATTTCAAGAAACTCAGAAAAAACTGGGGTTAAACAAATTTGAACTCTTTTTTCACTTCTCTCTATCCAACCAAGAAAAAATTGCCTTGTAGTGAAATTTTATGACAAACATCAGCATGAAAAGGTATGGATTTATCTTCAGTTCATTCAAATTTACTGAACTTTTTTATATCCTTAAAAGGACCTTTGCCAGTTTTGAAGTAAAAGAACCCAGAAAGGGAGAATTATGAAATCTTATTTCTTAAAAAATTACCAATTCATATTTAAACAGCTTCAAAGAAATCAACTTGTTTAAGGTAACCCAGCAACCCTGAAAATTTTAGTCACACCAGAATCACTCCAAAGAAAGTAAAACAGATCTCCAACTTAGTCATCTGTGTTTTCAAGTTCTTCAGCTTTTCCATGTGACACTGCTTCTTGGAAGAATTCAGAAGAACCTGGACTCTCCCTCCCACTGCTGTTTACCCTTCGCTTTTTGGCAGGTCTCTCACTTTTGTCATCAAAATCGCTTTCGTTTCTTGCAGTCATGTGGGCAAGTTTTTGGTCGGTGGTCAGGTCGTCTGCCTCGTAGCCATTGGTGTCCGTCTCCGCATGAAGCGGTCTCTTATGTCCCCCTGTCGGCCCGTTAACATGCAGCCCTTCACCTTTCCCTTCTTCCTTGGTCACCATCTCACCTGGCCCGTTAGATGACACCCCTAAGTTGGGAGAAAAATACACAATACTGCTAAGATGAAGGCGTTAGATTTGCACATTATTATGTAATAGCTATTGCAAATGGCTTTTCACAAGGGAGCGCGGGCCCCAGATCTGTACACGGAGGTGGTTTCACCCTCATGACAGGCCTAGCTGTGTTCCTCAGCTGCACTGCACAGTGAGGATCCAAGCAGGTTTCGTGTGCCAGTCACGTGAGGATGGAGCCAGGCCACTGCACAAAGTGAAGACCAGAAGTGCCCTGGGAGACCAGCAACCCATAACCCAGCTGTTGCACGGGAAGCCCAACTGCTGAGCGGTTGGCAGGACCTTTAGAGTTAGCTAAAGTGCCATGCCTTCCAGAGCCACAAAATAACAAAATCAGTGTTACTATGGAAGCTGAGAGGTTTTACTGCCATTTAAAACCAAGATGATGCCATGACTGTATTCCTAGTGTGTATTTGTAGATTTGAACTTTTTTATTTTTATTTTTTTGGCAGTACCAGAGATCGAACTCAGGACCTTGCACTTGCCAGGAAGGCACTTATGCCACTGAGCTATATCCCTGGTCCCCATGCTTTAAGCTTTAAAAGAACACACACTGGTCTGGAGAGATAGCTCAGTAGTCTGAGCGCTTGCTTGGCAAGTGTAAGGACCTGGGTTTGATCCCTGGCACTGCATGCCATGCCGGCCCTGGAACTGCGAGAGTGCTGTGCTGGCTGCTGAAACCAGGTGTGATGGTGCACACTTGTAATCCCAGCGCTGGGGAGGCTGAGACAGGAGGACCACCAAATTAATACATTTTTTAAAAAAGAACACACTGTTATTGAAGTGGACTTAATTTGTGACAATAGCAAAAAATAAATGCTGTTGTGCCCAAACATACATTGAAAGTGTTAACTAAAAATCCAAATTTCTCCATAGTCGGTACAATAATAAATTCTTACTATTTCACAACAGCAATTACTAAAGACACTGTGCTGAAGTTGACTGAAGATGAGTACAGCATGCATATCTTTGGAGACACTGCCAATCTATTTTTCCTATATTTTAGGGAGGGTTCTACAGGGTGTTCAGGGTCTCTATTAGATCGGACACCACGCCCAGTCTTAATCTCTGTCTCAGCAAGCCCTGGGGGTGGGGCCAGCACAGCACGCTGGGAACAAACCTCTGGCCCCTGTGCCTGCTGCCCGTGCTTTAATCCGCTGAGTGATCTGGCCGGCCCTGACGTGCCATTTTAACCACCTGAAGCGTTCAGCATGAAGGACGAGCCTCGCACACGCACTCTGGCCACACGCACTGACTGTGCAGTGGGGCTCACAGAGCAAGTGCCATCAGAGGAGCAGGCCAGCCGCAAGTCTAGAAGCCGGGTCAGACCGACAGTTAAAAACAGCGCCCATATTGCAAAGTCCTAGAGAAAAGAGGACGCTGTGCCACACACCCGTGGTTCAGTGGCACGTGGTGAGCGTGTCCAGGCCCTGGGGTGCTAGGGGTGCTCAGGCACTGGTCGGCGTCTCCCCCCAGACAGAAATGGTGGCCCTATCCAGGCACCAGCCCGACCAGAAAGGAAAAGCCTGCCCTGCGGCTTCTTAGAGGAGCCACCTGACCCAAAGCCCCTGTGGGAGTGCGTCAAGCCCCATCCTGCTCACCGTTGTGGGCGCCCACCGTGCCATCCTCCTTCTCACTCTGCCCATTGCTGCTGCTGGAGGCTGTTGGGGGAGGGGATGGGGCGCGACTGGAGGCTGCGCTCTCGCTCTCGTCCAAAAGACGGTCCATGTAGTCCCTTAAATGGACAGGAATGCTGTTATTTCCTTCTATTAAGAATGCTAGAAACTGGAATCGTTGAGGTTAACTTTTCAAATCTTTCCCAACAAATACTGTCCACCCCACAGTTCACTGCCTTCACTCCAGGGCCTTGTCTACTGGGTCAGGTCTACCGCCAAGGCCAGTTTGTTTTGGTTAGGAGTTTGTAGAGAAAACCTCTTTGACTAGCAAATTTTAAAGAGCAGTAGGCAACATAAAAGTCTTCAATTTGGGTCTGTATGTGAAGAGATCCGATCCAGTCAGATTGTCAGGAGTAGAAATTAAGCTCTGAACAGAGACAGGCTGGATTTTAAGGCCCCTAAGGCAATTCCTGGAAGAAAACGGGGTCTGGTGTGCCAGTGGGCTGATCTGTTGGGAGCTGTTTTTTTGGAGACAAGCTCTCACTATGTGGTTCAGGCTGGTTTCGAAGTGTGAAGCCCAGGTTACCTTCGAACTCCTAGTGATTCTCCTGCCTCAGCCTCCCATGCTGGGATGACAGGTGTGTGCCACCACACCCGGCCTGCAGCTGTAATTTTAATCTCTGACCACCGCCACTGTCACTTGGGTTAAGAGGATACAGCAGAGACAGGAGTATGATGTCGACCTCAAGAAGTACAAACGCACTGAAGTACAAACTAACACTTGGGTCAGAAAAAGACCCATGAGTGAGGAGGCCATTTAACAACGGGGGCATTGTTTTTGCCCCCCATAAAGGAAGAGAACGAATGCCAACGGCTTTAAGAGTGCTTCAGTGCCATGCAGCTCAATGTAATTACAGACCCAACATTAAGGCAGGTGAGTGAGCATCGCTGAAAACGGCCCTGCAACGGCAGAGGGTGTGAAAGCCGCACGAAGGTGTCCGGACCTGGGCAGACGGCAAGATGGTTGCACGTTTCTGAATGTGGCCGCACTGCCACGAGAATAAGGACCCTCATTTTCTAAAGACTGATGAAGTCCAGAACGCTCAGCAAAGGGTTCAGGGCCAGATAGGCCACCTGCAAGTCTCACATTCAATAACTGGCTTATGAATTAATTTTTCCTTCAAGAAAATTATGTGGAAAGCTTCATATGTTACAGTGAAATCTTCAACCTGCACATGCCCTCAGTTCTTCTAGGCAGTAAACAGGGAAAATCTGCAGTAGGGTCTTGCAAAGGCTGTCTGTAGACCACACATGCACAAAAGTGGCGGTCGGGGGCGGGGGGGGGGGGAGGATAAGTGGCTCTCACTGTGGTAACAACTGGAGGAAAACAATGTCACTTAAGCTACAAGTAGAAGCCGAAAACGGAGACAAGCCAGACGAGCAGAGTCTGTTCACTTTTTATACACAGTATAACACAGAAAGGGAAGATCTCAGCCAAACAAGACTGGCTTTCGGTAAGACGCAAGAGCTCTATTGGAGCCTATAGACAACGCCACCTCCGCCAAGAGAAAAATCATGTTTGTTCATTTCATGCCACTGTATGAAGCAGACCCGGGTAACTCCACAGCCTGAAGGAAGAGGCCTGGGTTACTCTGAGCACATCTGTACTGGGTCTTGCCGTTCCTCAGCTATGGGAGAGCTGACCGTCAGGCTTGCAGACGGAGCGCTGCAGAGCAGTCACCCAGCTCGAGTGTCTGGGGGCCCCCTAAGCCCAGCCCACACCTCATCCCTTGGTGAGCCTGGGTCTGACCCGGCATGACAATCTTACATTCTTATTGCTGAGGATGACAGACTGTACTTCATGCATGAACATTACTTCTGCAGTGGGTTGAAAGAACAAAAGCTGGTACTACTACTTTTCCACACAGAATAGTTTGAGAACCGCAACTATTTTAAGATATACTGAGCAGACTAGATAGCTGTATCTAATTCTCTATCATTACGCTTTAAAATTACCAAAGACTAATCAGTGAAATCTTCAATCTGCATATGCCCCCTCAGTTCTTCTAGGCAGTAAAGGACCCAGAAACTTCCATAACACTAAGCAATTATATGAAATCTGTGTTCTGTGGTAACTGAACTTCTGCCTCAGTCATCACCAGCTCTAAGTGCGAGGGATGAGGGTCAATTCTACTCAGCTATGCCCCGCTCGGATTTCCCAAGGGAGCAAGTAGTAAATGCAAGCGGCCAGGCAGCAGCATGGCCAGAAGCAGAGAAGCACAAGTGCACAGCTGTGCAGCCACTGTGTGGCCAGCCCAAGCACATCTAGACTGGGCACACTAATGAAACCAAGACACAGCTCTGCACCATGTTTATTCTGTAAACATCAGCAAATGTTCAAGGACAGTACTGTAAGTCACTTTCAGCACACAGAAGTAACTCGTGACAGATTCAGTGCTCTCTATATTTAAGTGACAGCTTACCAGGGGTGAGGGGATGTTCTATTCCACAAGAGTGAAAGAGGACAGAACGTGAAGCACACGGACGGTGCGTGGTATGTGAGACACTGCACAGAGCGGACGCAGCGCCTGGATCTGGGTGAGGGGGAAGCTGGAGTCATGTTACTAGTCATTCAATAGTACTTCTGTTGGTGGAAAAGGCTCAGGACCACCAGGAAAAGGGAAGCGACCATATGTGTGCTCCTCCCTCTACAGAATCTAACTACAGAAAAAATGCATGGCTCAGCAGAATAAGCGCTTGCCTGGCAAGCGCAGGGCCTGAGTTCAATCCCTGGTTCCACAAAAAAAAAAAAAAAGCAATTTGATCTGACTTAATGTATTTGTTTTTTTTCCTTTTTAGAACAACTACTTTCAAATCTTATTTTGGTTCTTGGGATCAAACTAGACTAGATGAAGAAAAAAAAATACCACAGTTTTAGAATAGTCCCCTTCCCTCCCTCCAAGTGCTTTCAAGTTATTAAACTACATGTGCTGTTCTAAACAGAACAGGCTTGACAGCTTCTATGATCCATTTCTTCTAGGGGCACCTACTGAAAACACACTTGCTTTCACAGGTTTATCATCTCAAATAACATGCGCTGTACTGTTAATAGCCTTTTGACATGAGATTGTGAATGTCTATGAAGAGATACAATAGCAATAAACTAATGTAAATTCCATTACAAGAGCAAGATTCTAAAAAAAAAAAATCCTACTTAAGTTAGAAAAGCTTCTTAGCAATAAAACACATAGCTCTAAAAGAAAAATGTATCGACTCACGTTACACCAGGATGAAGGTTGTATTTCTTTTTTCCAAATCGTGTTTGCTGAGCAAAGAAATCGTAGCGTTCAGATTTTTTCCACATATAATAGAATGCTACACATTCCCCAACTGACCTTGTTCGGACCTATAAAAAAGAAATGCTGTTTTTACCAACCATTTCTTCCTTACTAGAGGGATTCCATGAAAAATAGCTAAAGTCTGAAAATAAATGAGGTCCTCCTTGACCAACACACAACTGAGCAGGCGCAACCTAGCACGGCAGCCAGCATGGGCCGTGCTCGCTCTTCACCTTGGGGGTGGGGAGAAGCACTGCTACCTGCTCTGCACGTGCGCCACTGTTTTCTGATACTTCACTGTAAAGGAAGTCTCTATGAAAGCATGTGCGAGTGGCATGAGGGCAAGATAAATATTAGTTTGCGCTGACGCTCACACAGCACCGAGGGACACAACCTTTAAATTCTCTTCCAGAAGATTCTCTTAGTCCCAGCAGCAACCAGACATGCCTGAGAATGTGCCACAGGAACGCGAAACCGAATGTGTTCTCAGTGCTGTGCAGGCTCTGGCTCCTCAGCCATCCCGCGGCTGGCGCACGGCCTCTATCTGTGCAAGTGAGTGGATCCCCTCACGTGATGCCAGTAGCCGTAGGTGCGCATGAGCGACTGAGAGCAAGACCCCCTTTTTTGTAGGAAGTTTGGAAAGCTGAAAAGAGCTGATAGCATTAATAAAATACTGGGAGTTTAAAAGAAAAAATGATACCACTATCAGTTTTTTGGATGCAAGATAAATAGCACCATAACCAATTTTGGATACTGAGGCAGAAAAACTTAAGACACACATTATACCCAATGATGCCTGCCCACGTGTGCCTTGTTTCTCCGCTACATGCACTTAATTCTATGACCCATTTTGCTCTGAGACTCAAAACAGCTAGAAAAATCCTAAGCTAGTTTTGACTTTCTATGGAATCTCATTTCTACAGATTTCAACCAAATCAAGGGTACTACACTGAAAGCAAAGAAGACATTTTGATACATGCAGAGTTAGCAGTACAGGAAATCTTCAATAAAACAAACTGTCATAGAATTTAAGGTTAAAATCTGAATTTTAATTCCAAGTATAAAATTCCAATTCCTTGATGTTTTTATTGAAATGTTTTTCTCCCTCAAAGGACGACCCTTGGTTTACCATGGTAGCTAGTGTGATTATACCAAGGTCAGAGGCCGTCCATCTAGACCACCATCCAAATCTCTATAGAGCAAGTGAGAGCAGAGTTTGTGGCTCATAGCTAGAGGTCATCTAGGAAGTTCACTGGGCTTCAAAAGAAGCAGGTGCTGCTTCTGTTGATCAGATTAGCCGTCATGCAGGGTGTTCTTCACAGGGATGCTGTGACTCCAAGCAAGAAGGCCAGTGCTAGAAAAATCTTACAGAAATCCTTTCAACCGTGAAATGTGAGACTAAAAACAATCAGACACATAAGTAGCTAGCCATTAGCATGAAATAGTTTTTTCCTAGTGTTGAGATTATTAAATGACTTGGACACATTAGGGATAAATTTCAACAGCAATTATGCTGTCTTTTAAGGCACCCTGAAAGCTAAAATGCAACATTTCTCTTTCATTAGTTATGTGTAATATCAATCTCCAAAATGGAAAAACATAATTAAGAACAAATCAGTTAATGCACCAAAAATTAAGCTCAGCAAGCTTATAGGTCCTGTGAAGTTACTCTGACCTGGTAAGCAGAACTAACACTACGTGTGCTGCATGGCACTGCCCTTTCACAGCCGGGAGAACAGAACAGAGGTCGGGAATGCAGCTGGGGTGGCTTGTGACGAGCAAGAGCGAGGCCCTGGGCTCTAGTTAACATTGCCACAAAATAAACAGAAAAGGAATCCGTTACACGAAGGCACAGCCTCAGACCTAAGCCCCACATTGTGCACAGGGCTCTGCCCAGCTGCCATGCGACACTTAAGAGGCCAATACTCTCTTTAAGAAAACACAATGTTGCTCCTGGTGTTCAATAAAAATAACAGTACATCAAAAGCCTAGTAGTTAACTTCCTATAGTTAAACTTGAAACCTTTAATCTTGTAGAGAACAACTCATTTCCCTATCTATAAATTGGGTAGTTACTATTAAAATCCTATCTGAATTCAGTTCTAAAAATGAAAGCCCAAAACAAATCTGTAATTAGGAAGTTTTTTGGGATAAGCACCACATGACTGATATTATCAATATGGAGTGACTACTTATCACGTGAAACAAAATTCTACGTTTATGACAACTGCACTAATTCATAACGAAGCCAACCTATTAACACCTCCGGAAAGTTCATTTAAATCTTAAGAATGTGCTTTTAAGCCAAGCAATGGCACATGCCTGTAATCCTAGCTAGCTGGCAGGATGAGGCAAGATCGAAAGTTTGAGCCGACCATGGGCAGTATAGAGCGGATCATCGCAAAACAAAAACTGTCACAAGGTACTTGGAGCACAGCGCCTGCCTAGCGTGCATGGACCTCTTGGTTCAGGCCCAGAACTTCAAAAATGAACAAACAAGGGCCAGGGACATAGCTCAGTGGCACAAGCACCTGCCTGGCAAGCACAGGGTCCCAAGTTCCATCCCAAATACTGGGGAAAAAAAATAAAAACAAAAAATGTGGCTTAGACTTTTAATTATAAACTCATGTTAAAAGTGCTTTAAAATTTGAACGGTATCTCTCACAGACAGAAAGCAGCTTTAAGTACTACACTACACATAAACACTATAACCTATAATTGTTTAACATACTTGTAAATGATTCATTATTTTGTTTGTGCCAGTGGGGACTGAACCCAGGGCTTTTGCAAGCAACTACATACATCCCTAGTCCTTGTTAAAATTTTTGAGACAAGATCTCACTAAGCCAAAAAGCTGCCCACACTGGGCTAGACCTTGCCATTGCCTTGCCTCAGCCTTCCAGAGTGCTGGGAGGCTGGCACCAACCATGCCTGGAGCTCAAGCCTCAGAACGTTCTAGCATCACACAGTGAGCGAGCAAGTTTATGTGAGGAAGTCTAGGTATGCCTACTATAATAGTTAGCCACATCCTAAAGATTACAGTATTCATTATAGAAACTTTAATGGAAAATACAGCAGATAAAGATGTCAGTTTGACTTATTAAACTTCCCATAAATAGAACATTACTTACTTTATTAGCCTGAATCAAATGAAAATCCTTTCCATAGGCCTTCAGCCCTTGTTCAAAATTTCTACACTCCTCCTCTGTCCAAACAGACAATTCCTCTGATAAAAAGGGGGAGAAACTGTTAAGCATTATTCCCCCAATGCTGCATGTAACAAACAAAACTGCAAATAAAAATGTGATGTTAGGGAAACGTTTTACTTCAAGCATTAACTTTATCCTTGCAAAGGATAGAGAGCAGGGACAAATCTTCATTTCATGTGACGCTCAATGACTTGGCCCCTACTTGGCCTCCACTGGGCCACTCTGCCCCGGATTCCTGACTCCACGGCATTAGCCCTTGCAGTTCTGTTTCTCAGCTCTCCGTACTTCAGCTGTAGTGTGCTGCATCCCGTGCCTACAATTGCGCCCTGCTTCCTAGTGCATGCCAACCATCTTCTCCATCCCAGTCAAAATGTCACGTTCTGAAGCTTGCCCAGAAGCCCCACCCACTCTCCTCCTCCAGCTGCAACAGCTCCCTCTCCTAGGAGGGGCAGGAAGGAAGGAGGTGTCTGAGGCACACGGCTGCAGGGCCCAGGGGCTGGAGTGTAGCCAGCCCCTCTGAACTGAGGAGACCTTCATGTTTTTGTAGACTTCATCACAATTTCTCAAACTACGCTAAACAAAGTGGGAGAGAAGCCAGCCTAACAGTAAGAAAAGGAAACCCAGCATGGCAGCTCTGGTCGTTACTCATGGGTCACTCCTGCCTCACCAGCTCACCAAGTGCACAGCCCGCCTTCAAGTGGAGGCGACGCCTGTCATGTCACAGAGCTCCTGGACGCACACAGATCACAGGCTCAGCTTCACACACAGACTCAGAAATTTTGAGGTACTCTGCATTTTTATTTACTTAAAACTGCCTCAGTTTCCCACAAGGCAGGAATAGCCTTCATCCCACCCTTACTACACCTTGCAGAATTAGAAACTAAGCTTAGCATGTACAGTGTATGTTAAATGTTGGCTTAACTTTTAAACTTCTGCCAAGTCATGAAAACAAACAAAAACTTAAGAATTATGCTTACCTCTAGCTGCCTTTACATTGAATCGTAACCTTCGCAGTGCTTCTTCTGTATCAAAATTGCACTTAACCAATTCATATAACGCCTAGAAAACAAGCTTGCTTGATGAGCCAGATCATGCACAGCCCTGCTTTACACTACAACTGAAAAGATTTTTTTCAAAATCTAGTATTGGTTTTCATTATTTTTGGGGGGAAGAAGGGGTTATTTTATTTATTTATTTACTTACTTACGGTACTAAGGATTGAACCTGGGACTTGTGCTTGCCAGGTGGGTGCTTAAGCCACTGAGTTTTATCTCTGGTCTGGGAAGGGGTATTTTTAGTGAACACAACATAAAAAATACCAAGGAAAAATATCAATTGAATTGTGGTATTTAACACACTCCAAACTTGTATAAGGTAGAGTGCAAGCATTCTAACTTTGTGGCCATAGTATCCAAAGAATCTAGAAATAAAAATACGTCTAATTTTACATAAATGGTTAATTTCTTCACTGTGGCTTTCACAGGTTCCTGGCATAATTTTAAACAAGTCAGAAAAGAAAAACAAGGATTAAAAAAAGGTTTAAAATCCGGCATGCTCTGTGAGGTAGGCATGTCTGACCATGCGCATGGTCACCCTCTCTCACGGGAGTTTCGCACTGATGACAGCCACATGCCCTCAAGGACACCAAGACATCTGCTGAGCTCACAGCAGCCAGGCAGGTGTGGCAACAGTGAGAATCTGCCGCAGACTGCGAAGTCAGATTGCACATTCCCACCTGTGAGTGTGCGCGCCTGGCTTAGCTGAGGAAAAGCCGAGGACATCTCATTCACGCACCTGTTCGTTGTCTTTTATGTGAGACCCTTCGGGAATTGCTTCCACACCTTTCTCATCACCTGTCCTCCTGGACGCATCCTTAAGAAACACAATCACTTTGTCTTCTGGTAAGTACTCAGGGTCCCACAAGAGCTGGTCATCATTTTCATACACTAAAGGGGTAGAACTGAAAGTTAGTAAACCTTGCTGGAGCACAACAGGGTTTGTGCTCACGCGCTGTTGCACAAGTGGTGCACGCCGACTGGGGCAGGGTGCACCCACTTGTCAGCTGGCTTCTCCTTCAGGGAATGCTGCAGCTCTTGGGGTACAGGCATCTGCACAGAAAGGGGGCTGTTCTGGACCTCACGATTTTGCCAGAGTTCTGGAGCGCCGGTGCTGACTACCTAACATGCGAGGTGTGGGCCAAGTTCTCTTCCCACCTGTCTCTGCCGTGTTTGTGAAGGGGAGACTGGACTAACTTTCCCAAGGGAAGCCAGAAGGACTTCAGCACTGTGATGCAGCCCTGGCATGTGTTAAGGGCCCCCGCTGCTGCCACAGACTTATCTGTGAGAACACCAGGTCTAGAACCTGCTCACAAGAATGCCCACTGCTCACTCCTTGGTGGCAGCACTGGGCATCACCTAACTGTCCTGCCTGTGTGTCTCTGTAGCCTGAAACTGTATTAAGATCACACATTCTCACTAAAATAAGTTATAACTTTAAGTTTCATCAACATTTCTAATACAAAGAGTCAAGCCTAAATCTATAGTTTAAAAAGAGAAAAGAAGATGGATGACCGACAACAGAGCCCTCTCGAGCTCCACACGACAGGACACCAGTGATGGCCAGTGTGGAAGAGCAACAGGCACTCCCAGCAGTAAGAGCGTGCGGTCACAGGAGCGGAGTGCACCCCTCAAAGGGGTGAGCCAGGGAGCTGCTAGTGCCAGGGGCCATGCTGGTGGACACTGAAGAGTGAACAGCAAGTGGAGAATGAAGCAGAACACACTCTTGGACCACCTGGCCGTGAGGGTGAGACAGGGTAATAACTAGAGAAAGTGGGGACACAGAATGGCTTTAATGTTTTTGTTTTTAAAGCAAGGAGACAAAGACTGAAATGCCAACACGAAGGAACTTGCTTGAGAACAATTTTAAGAGATCAAGTTCCTTTCATTATTGACAGCAGCTGGCATCCAGGAAGCATGTTCTATGGATAGAACCCACCTTGCCCTCCACCCACAGACCCTGCAGCCTCCTCTGACCTAGTATTTCCCCAGATGCACTCTACTGTAAGGACAGTGCAGAGGACCTTCACGAATGTCACTCCTTTCCTAGCCTGCCAGTAGACCTCTAGTTAGCTCTAAGGCCTGAACGCAATAAGCATGTAATAAACTGAACCTGTGTAAAATGCTACTGCTTTCCGCTTAGTTCTGTTCTCCAAGAAGAGCAAACTATCGACTGAACCTCTGGGGTGGATAAGACTGTCTCAGGAAGAAGGCGGTGAAAGGTAGGTTTGAGTCCGGACACTCTCCAGTCACAAACCCCATTCCAGGTCGCTTAGTAAGTTCAGTACATAGAGATGGTCTCAATTACACCAGAGGGCGCCAAAGGACAAGCTAGGCTGTGGGACAGCAGCTGGGGGTGGGGGGTGGTGCGGTGGGGGAACCCTGAATGGACTACAGTTCACTCCATGGCAACAAAGGAAAACTTACTCTTTGTAGGTACAATGAATGACACAAGCATGTTCTCAATCACCAAAACGGAAGCAGTGTTCTGAGTGATTTCATTCTGAACCAGTACAAATACACCACCGGTCTGAACAGACAGCCTGGTGCACACACGCAGTGCTGAGAAGCAGGTGCCTGCTGACTGGTGGAAGATCCTGACTGGGCAGTTCTGAAATGGGACCTCAGGCCTCCGCTTCTCAGGAAGGCACAGGGGAGCCTGGGGGGGGGGCACTGTAGACCACCCTTTAAGCAGCAAGGTGTGCAAACATCTTTCTGCTGCTGTTATCAAAAACACAACGGGAGGGGCTGGAGAGATAGCTCAGGGGTCTAAGTGCCTGCCTGGCAAGTGCAAGGACCCGTTTCCATCCCCAATCCTTGGTACCACATGCCATGCTGGCCACCAAAACCGAATGTGGTGGTGCACACCTATAATCCCAGGGCTGGGGAGGCTGAGACAGGAAGATGACTATAAGTCCAAGCTGTGCAGTGAGACCCTGTACCAAATAAGATTTAAAAAGTGCACAGTGGGAGAGATCCTCAAGAAGCATAATACACATCCCAGAGAAAAACGTAATTGACAAAGGAGGCTGAGAGAACACTACCACAGAAGTATAAACAAAGCATTACAATCAGGAAATTAATTCTCAGTAAACACAGACTGACTCACTGCCTGCTGGTCTTAGGCAGGGAAGTGGTATTCCTTTCATTGTGCCTAGGTAAAAACCACCCAGGCAATACATCTGCAGATGCCAGGTGCTGAGCTAAGTGTCACTCTGGCATGGTGAAGGGCTTACAAGACACCCTTAGTCACTGCATCCCCGAGGGCTGCTTGTGAACAATGCAAGTGGCCCTCACATCACGCTGCTCTGCCTGCACATGGGCTAAATGAATGCCTGCTTCAACACTGCTATCACAGGCTGAGCATCCCGAACAGGAAAACCCACTGCCCTGAAATCTGGAACATTTCCATCCCTACTGGAGCTCCTCGCAGGTTAGAACTAGAGTCGCGCTTAGTGGCCCACAACTACAGTTCCAGCAAGGGCAGAGGACCACCAAATCCAGGAGACATACAGACTCTCTCTCAAAAGAAAAAAAAAAAGAAAAGAAAAATAATCCGTTAAATTGTATATGGAGCAATTTACATTTCCGTTGCTATCCATTACTGCTTAAATCCTACCCATCTAGGATTTCTGTCATGCAAGAAAAACCTGGGAATTGGGTCAGTGGTGCTATTCCTCTTTTCCTAAATAATCTACTCTTCCATCTGATTCTTGATTGATCCAGTTCAGTTTCTAGTCTCGACATTGCCCTTCCCCAGAGGGTAGCTCTTAGTATTAGAGCACTGTCTAGCCCACAGCAGGGTGTTCACCAGCGCTCCCTTTCTACTTCTGCTGGAAAGCCAGTACTGTCCTGGGCCCACACACATAACCGAGAGCTGCCTTGGGAAGCAGGCTTTTCACCTGTCATTCACAGTGGACAGGGCTGACACTACCCAGGAGATGGGAACATGTGAGGGACCCCAGGCGAGTGGCACTGTTCCCTCGTCTCTCTGCTCAGTGGCTTCTGGCAGCCCAGTCTGTGGTTCTCTCCAAAACTGCTGCTAGAGCACAGGGTAAGAAAATGCTCCTCTGCTGGTCCTCGAGCTACAGGACTGTGTGCAGTACACGACAAGCATTCCCACGGCCATTCTAGCATGTCTGAAAATAAAGGCGGGGAGAATTGTAGATAACCTAAGTGTAGCTGAATACAATTACAACTGAATCAACAGATTCAACCAGATTCAAAGCAGCCCAGTAAATTCTTTTGGCTTAAGCTAATTGAACTGGTTTTTTGACACCTGCAAACAAAACACATGAAAATGTGGCCAACAAAATCTGAAGGTTAACCATCAACTAAATTCTAATGCTACTTACTGGAACTGAGCATGCGTCAGGACCACGAGGCTTAAGTGCTATCCATGAAATCAGGACAACCACACTAAGTGGTTGCTGTAGCAGTCTTGTTACCACTATTTTGCACCTCACTATTAACTCAGGCACTCGCTCTTTTACTCAGTTCCTCTGTAGTGAGAATCAACTTGTCACTGAAGGCTCCAAAGATGAGTGACAGATGCAGTGGATCCAGGAACCTGCAGCTTACGTGCCTGTATATTTAGCCAACTGCATATACAAACTATTTAGCAAACTCTGTGCGCTTATCTTGAGCACACAGACTTTCTCTCAGCACGCCCTGAAGAGCAGCTACCCACGAGGTCCAGCGTCTGCATAGCTAGGGTTAGAGGTGCTCAGGAAGTGATCTACAGAGATGTGCACAGCTGGCCAGCAATGCCCCATGGAGGGGTGCAGCCCAGGCCCTGGCAAGGGTCGGCACTGAGTGGGGCACAAATGAGAACTCAGAGGACTGTAAGAAAATGAGGGTACAGCCCAGGAGATGTTGTAAACAAAATAGGCCCCAGTTTACAGGAGCAGGCATGACAGGAGGAGAGGCACAATCTGCATGGAGGTCAGGGAGAAAACAACTGGGGGAGAGAGCACCTGCCCTCAGCCAGACCCAGGGAGGTGGGGCTCATACGGGCGCAAGGGAGAAGGTCAGCCCACCTATCAGATACCGCCTATAATAAAGATACTTAAGTTGGGGGCACTTTTATGAAAAAGAGTACCTGACAGAAAACATCTTGTGAAATTTTTTCTATCAGAAGTTTAACTAGTACTATCTTTCTTATTTTATTTCTGAAGAAATAGTACAATTTATATAATGGTTTGCTTAAGTCTAGTCCTAACAGAAGTCTGAATTTCTTCAAGCTTAAAATGGAACAAAGGCCAGAGAGATAGTGCAGTGGACTAAAGTGTCTGCTTAGACAAGCTTAGGCAAGTGCAGGGACTGCGGTTCGAACCCTGGCACCACATGATGTGCCAGCCCTGCCCCAAGGGTGGCTGAGCCCGTCAAGAGTCTGAGCATAGTGGTGCACGCCTGTAATCCCAGTGCTGGGGAGGCTGGAAACAGGAGGATTACTATGAGTCTGGGCTGTGTAGTAAGACCCTGCAACAACCAAATACATTAAAGATAAATATAAATAAAATGGAGCAAAGGCCCTCTACCACTGAACTCCTTCAAAGCAATGTTATTCTTCTAAAGTCAATCGTGTGATCTTTTTACAAACTAATATCCAAATTTTCAAAATTAAGAAAACTTCTTAAGTCACATCTTCTCTTGAAAAAGATTATGTATCACTGCTTTTAAAAATCATGCAGAGGGCTGGTGAGATGGCTCAGTGGTCTAAAGCACCTACTTAGAACAAGCTTTGCTAAAGCACAGGGACCCCGGTTCAATCCCCCAGCACCACATGCCAGCCAGCCCCGCCCCCTGGTGGGCTGAGCTGGCCACACACACACACACACACACACACACACACACACATAAATAAAAAAAAAATAAAAAAAAAAAAAACTAAAAATCATGCAGAAATTGGTAACATCAAGCCAGAATTAGCAGTCTTTTTAAAATGAGGGATTGTGATAATTCGTTTACTGTGACATCTGATAATTTTAAAATAAAAGTAAAATATATGAAGAGATCATTTAAACCTTCACCATAATATGAACTTGAAATGTTTCCTCCTATCTACTAAATACAAAGCTATCAAAGGAGGTACTACTCTTTCTTAGCTAACACTAAAAAGAAATCTGTTAGAAACAACATGATAAATGTCCAGTTTTCACTACTTCGTTTATTTGCAGAAACAAGGAATGTAATGATGAACGTGCACTATTATGTGCAAGTCAGAAATAGTACTACTACATTACCTGTCAGTGAAGCACACTTACATTTGGCTGTCAACAGCTGGTTTCCAGGGCCAGGGAGATGGCTCAATAGAGTAAGTGCTTCCCTGGCAAGCATAAGGGCCTGAGTTCAATCCCCGGTTCCAACCCCCCCCCCCAAAAAAAAAGGGCCGGGGAGATGGCTCAGGCTCAGTAGAATAAGTGCTTCCCTGGCAAGTAAGGGCATGAGTTCAATTCCCTGGTTCCACAAAAAAAAAAAAAAAAAAAAAAGTTTCCCTCTGTGTCTGCAGAGCACTGTGGGATGAAGCCACTGCCCTGGGTACCCTCAGTGCCAGGGGTTAAGCTCACATGCCAGCACAAACCACAGAGCACCTCAGCGGGGTGCAAGCAGGTAACTGACCCAGAGTGCCCCACACTGCCACTGCCTTCCTGCCTGGCCCAGGATGGGAATGCCTTAGAACTGCAGGGTGCGCCGCCCCGAGACCCCTGCCAGTAACAGCAACACCAGAGGGCCCTGTGGACGCATGGTGAGCAGAGGAGAAGAGCGCTAGAAGAAATCAAATGCACTTGCGAGTAAGGTCACACTGCCCAGGAACTCAGCAAAAACATGCGCGGCATTCTTCCTGGAACCTACCTAACGGGAATAATCTGAGACAGATTCTCTTTTTAAAAATCTGAAGAAATTTTTAGTAATGCAAGTATAACCTAAGTCAAGGACTACATTTAGATAAAAATCATGTACGATTTAACTGTACAAGGGTATTCCAAATTGTAAGAGCACTAATTACATTCTTTTTTAATAACAAGTTTTAAAAGCCTTTTGTGTCAGTTATTCAGTATCCAGTTTGTTTTTAAACCTATTACTGCCATAAAATAACTTGCTTTAAAAACTAAATTATAAAGGGTAAAGGTCAAGTTTAGAGTTTTTAAAAGATGGAGTCCTATTTCTTATTTTGAGACAGGGTCTCGTTCAGGTTGACCTTAAACCTGTTTAGGTAGCCCCCGGCTGGCCTTGAACTCATGGCGATCGATCCTCCTGCCTGAGGCTCTGAAGTGCTGGGATGATAGGCCATGGTGTGTCACCATGCTCGGCCTGGAAAAAGCTTTAAAAGAAATGGTTGGGATGTTTTAAGTCACTTAAAAGCAAGACAGCATTTTTCCTTTTCTAAACTTAGATGGGGAGGAGCAGAAAAATAGCTCCTAGAGTACAGAGTTCCCTTACGCAAGCTAAAGCAGTCATTTACTAGGCTGTCGCGTTCTGACACATCTCACACGTGAGGTAACGACAGCTCACCCCTCAGGATCCGCTGCACAGCTGACTCACCTTTTTCATTTTCTCTGTATCTACACACACCGACTGGAATCTCCGCTTGAAACATGGAGCCCACCATAATCTCCTGTTTAAAAGTAAAAAAAAATAATGGACTTAATTTTTTTTTTCTAGCTCAACCATCTTCTTGGGTAAACTCTGGTTTCTGTCATAAAACAGATAAAAACAACCTCCCCAGGAGTATGAGGAAGACAAATGAATATGATTAGATAAAAATATTCATAACAAAATGGCATGAAATGTGATGCAGACAATGAATACGAACTTTAAACATGGCTGCTCATCACACAATCTGATGATCACAAAACAGCCTGGCATTCTGAACATCAGTAGTCTCACACTGCAGCGGAGACAGCAGCACCTGGAAAGGGCTGGCAACAGCGCTGGGGCTGCCCAGGCTTGGGGGCTTAGTCCCTCAGCACTTTCAGCCATCCTGACATGCCCTCAAGTCTGGCACACAGAGCTTGAGGGTAAGAGGACACTGCAAGGGTTCCCATAAAGCCCAGGAAGGACCAAGCAGACCGGCAGCTTAGCGTTTGACTTTCCCTAAACCCATGGAAGATGAGAAAGCAGCCCCATAAAAAACACCATTAAATTTTACACAGGCGACCTGACGATCAGCTCCATAATGAGCAGAGGTGAAACTGGTCATTCAGGGAGCCCACAGGGACCCCAACAGCAGCAGGTTTTGCAGTGCTCACAGCCGCCTGCAGGACGAAGTGCAGGAACCCATCTGCCACCGATTCCTGTCTGCCACCTTATCTTAATGATAAAGAACTCATTTTACCTATTACAACCTCAAAGACACGTTCTATGCAAATAAAGTCATTGTTGCGCTTGCATAGGAAAGTCAGCCCTTGTCCTGATCAGTCCTCTAAAGAGTATCACACACATTTCTCCACAAACTTCAATTCTCTGTATGTCTTCCACTATAAAGAGTCTTCTGTTATCACTTCCTGTGCCTCTTTATTTACTTGTGTGTACCAAAGAGCAGTCACGTCAACCCTAGCTGGGAAGCGTCTGGGTATCAATGCTCAGAACTGTCCAGACCGAGGCTACTCTATGGACAAGGCCTCGCAGCCACAGTGTGAGCAGCCTCTAAGCGACCAACGTGAAGCCAGAGCTTAGACGCTCTGATGGCTTTAAAGGGAAGGCATTTCCTTTGTCTACTAGTTCAGAGTAGTTCCATCCATCTGCTGATTCCCTTTGTAGTGTATGAAAGGGAGGGTGACAGCATTTAAGGTCATTATTATCAAGTCATTATCTGGGATCTTGCACACCATTTTCATTTGCTTGTCACCAAACCCTACACTTGACGTTGTTATTCCCAAAAACATGTGAAAAGGTGACTCTCAAAAGGAAAAACATGTTCTTGGGAACACAGAGTAAGTTCTCTGGTCACTATTTAACTCAGGTTTCACTTAAAAGTTGTTTCCTTTACCTTAGCTTCTTTAAAAATCTAATTTCATCTCATATGCCTTCAAAAACTGAATCTCAAATTTTGATAATTATCCAGTCAGATGAGAGAGAGAAAAAACAATGCAGATGCACCAAGTCATGCTACACTGCACACCATTTCTGAGACAGGGAGCAGCGGCCCGGAGCCCAAGGCTTCCCTACCTGTCAGCCTGCTCTGAGCCCTGCTTCATCATTTAATAGAAAAAGTGCTGCTGAATGCTCCAGATGCAAAAGCAGTTATTGTATGTGGGAGAAGGGTATACAAACTTGAACTGGCACTGGAAAAGAGCCATTTAATAGGACTCTAAAGACTTCTCTTTCCTCTGAATTTCTGTATGGCATACGAATTTCATTAAAAATTGGACTGAAAAATATCTGCCCAACTAGCTCACCTGAACAGGAAGGAACTTTCCTGAGTCTGTTTCCTCCCACCACTCTTTCCAATGCACTGGACTAACTGTCCCTCACTACCCAGGCCCACCCTGAGAAGCTCTCCCTCTCTAACACTGGCATCTTTCTGTTGGCCTCATTCAATTCAACACTAACACTGCACATTTCCTTAAGTTGTTCAGCTTTGCTAAAGGGAAGGCCACTCATGCAACAAGAATGTAACTACATCAGGTGTTCAGTCTGCAAAGGAAGAAAACTGTGGTTCTCCAGCTCTTCAGACCCTTGCACTAAGTCTTAGCAGGCACGTGGACACAAGACACGTCGACATGAACTTCTTTTGGGGCCCGACCGGAGTACACCTGAATCATCATTTAATTCTTCCTAAAGAAAGAAACACTAAATAGATGTTTTTTTAACTTTATCAGCAGGAGGGTCAGATCTTTTTTAAGTCTGCCTCTCACATTCTAAGCCAGGTAACTTTAGCCATCATAAAGCACAGTTGTGCACACATGCACACACATGTTCTTCCAAGAACACGGAGGCCCAGCATTACTAATAATTAAATGAACTTGTTAAAGAGATATGCAAGTCCAGTAATGTGATACTCTGTGCTGTTTTGCTTTCAAAGTAATGGGTATGCATCAAATTTATAAAACATCCAGGAACAAGAGGAACATAAAATTCAAATCAAAAATTTTTTTTAAAAGAAAGAGAGTGGATGAATAATTATCTCTCAGGCTGGGGGGATAATGCAGTGGTCTAAGTGCCTGCCTGGCAAGCACAAGGACCTGGGTTCAATCCCTGGTACAGCACGCCATGCCGGCCCTGGAACCCGTGCGCTGAGCCTGCCACCAAAACTAGACGTGCTGTACATGCCTGTAACCCCAGCGCTGGGGGGCTGAGACAAGAGGATCACTACGAGTCTGAGCTACATAGTGAGACCCTATACCAAATAAATAAATGATTTGAAAAAAAATTGTATCTCAACAGGCATGTTTTTTCTATATAAATGTTTTTAAACAAGTCTGCACATTTTGACATATGTTCCTAAGAGGTCAACACCTTCACAACCTAAAATTAATTTAATTGTCTGGTTAATTATGTAATGCTATTTAATTTTATGAATAAAAGCTAATGTAACTGTGTATAGTTACAAAGAAACCCAGTCTGTCTTTCTGCACAAAGATCTGTCAGTTATAACTATCAACATTAAATTCAATATTGTGCTTTCCTTTTACAAAAAAGGAAAAAAGTTCGACTTAAATGGTCAAAATTTACTTAACAGACATCAAGGCCTCCACAATTTTCTTCAAACCATATATATTAAAAAGCAATTGTGGGGGGCTTGCTGTTTAGCTCAGCTCTTTAAAGTGCCTGCTTGGGCAAACCAAGTCAGGTGCAGGGGACTGCAGTTCGATCCCCAGCTCCACATGCCGCACCAGGCCCGCCCTTAAGGCAGGCTGAGCAAGCCAAAAAAAAAAAAAAAAGCAATTGTGGTATTTCTGACAGAGCAACAAAAGTCTAACTTAGCACCACCTTAGTACCAGCTGGCCAGCTGGATGGATGCAAAGGTCAGCCTGGTGCTGACATGCCCACCTACCCAGTCCTCCTCACCCTCGTACCCTCGTTTTGTTTGATAAAAGGTAACACATCTCTCATCTGGGCGTATCAAGGAGAAATCGCCACATCTGTCAAATGCTTCAATGTAACAAAAGAGCTCACAAATCAACTTTATCAATATACATAAGAATAAATATACTTGGAATTTAAAAAAAAAAAGAATAGATACACTTGGCTTTTTAAATACTGACTTATCCAAGTTTTGGAAAAATAAGGTTCTAACCTTTTTCCAGTCTTCTGATGGAATATAATCTTCATCTTCTTCAGATTCTTCTTCTATTTCACTATCTAAAATAAATCAATATTATATAATGATCGCTTATTCTGCCCACATCTATATTTTTATGCTGTTTTTACATCTATCATCAAGTACTTATCAAGTTAAATAGTATGTGCTGATTTAGGCAAAGATATCCTAAATCAAATAATCAATATTTTATTGCTTAAAAAACAAAAAAACAAAGGAGGGCTGGGGAGACAGCCTGGCAGGTCTAAGCACCTGCCTGGCAAGCACAAGGACCCAGGTTCAACCTCCGGTAGGTACTACACCCTGTGCTGGCCCTGAAACCATGCATTGTGGCACATGCCTGTAATCCCAGTGCTAGGGAGGCTGAGACAGGAGACTGAGTCTGAACTGCAGAGACTTTGTATCAAAACAATAAAAATAAAAAAATTAAAAATAAAAAACAAAGGAATGAGTTTAAAAAAAAAAAAAGCAAAAGCACTTTCTATTCGTATATGTAAATTCATATTCGCAGGAAATTATTTTCTATAAAAACTCGGGAAATGTGCAGTCCAGACAGTTTCTAGCCCTCACTCTGGTACCAAAGTCTGGTGACAGCTAAGTAACATGATCTCAAGTAGTCTAACACAGGAGGGCCTGATTTCTAAGCAGCGTTCGAGCCCCAGGACTTCTACAGCATCGTCTTGGAGAGAGGAGCGCACAAATGGAGGCAGAGTTCTGCAGACTGCCACTATTCACAGCCTCTGTGTTGTTCACAGGGGCAGGCTGCTGCTTCTACGCTCTGAATAAGAATGCATTAAAATGAAGAGGGCAAATATGAAAACCAGTGGACTGCCACCACACAAAGTCCAAGACGACGTCACACACGGCAATGACTACATAAAGCTTTCTATGGACAAGCTAGGGCAGCAGGTATGCCTGTATTCCCCCAAAATGACACAAGAAACCCCAGGGCAGAAGCAGGAAGCATGTATTGTTCCAAAAGGCAGAGCATGCACTCAGCCTCCCTCGTGCTAGCAAACTTTGGCAGTGGATCTCGTTCTCTGTTTGGCCAAAGGAAAGACTACTACTACATGATCCACCATCAAACAAAACTATTCCAGTAACTAATCTTTCCTTGTACTGAAACCCATTTTCCTGAGCCAGATCCTTGGTCAGAACTCACAGTGCTTCTTATACAAAAATTATAATTAGCAATACTGACATTCACTTCCCAACTAAATTGGCAACCAATCATTCAAAGTGCCAGCTAGCCACATTTAAACAGTTATCATCTCACTACATTGTGTAAGATTACTTCTCTTCAAATACTTTTTCTTCCTTTTCGAATACAGAAATTTAGACCACACATTTAATAATGCTGAGTGTCAGCTGTTCTTACCAAGCAGCCACCTGCTAGAATAGTAATTTGGACTCAGGATGAACAGGCAGACCGAGCGAGTGAACATGCAGACAGTCCCCACTTTAAGACCCAAAGACTGCTTCAGACCGAGAGTTACAAGGCTAAGACACAAGTTCTCAGGGTCACAGTGGTGCGCTGTGTCATTCTACTGCAGTCCACACCAGACCATGCTGTATTACGTGGTCTTGGATGGTTCTGTCACTTGGGATGTCAAAGCCATTTGAATTAGTACACATATATTCCAGGAGGACAGTGATGGCGAACCTCTTAGAGACCAAATGCCAAGCTGCTACTCTAATCCCATTTATTTATTGCAAAGCGTCAATACTACCACTGAACCTGAACACTGAGGTTTTAGTTTAGGGGGAAAAAACAACTCTATAGTAACATCTCTTATTTTATTTTTTGTGGAACCGGGAATTGAACTCATGTCCTTGTGCTTGCCAGGGAAGCACTTATTCCAATAAGCCATCTCCCCGGTCCCAACATCTTTTATTTTAAAACAAATCTGTGCCATAGGCTCACCATCACTGCCCTAGCATGCTCACACAACCAAGAATTTGCTGAATGAGACATTTCTTACAGTGTTGCTCTAAGTGAGCACGACTATGCCTCAGAGACGGCTAAGAGGCAAAGCAATGTACAGAGTGAAAGCTGACATGAACAAAGAAGCACAGCCAGAGGCAGGAGCACAGCGATTGCTGTGACGTAGGCACCCTCCACAGGGCCTTACTACTGCTGCACGGTAACCTACAAGGAGATCCATGTACTTTGGAAAGGGATTGCGGAATAAATAAATTTAAAAAGAACAGTGATAGGGGCCGGGGAGATGGCTCAGTGGAATAAGCGCTTCCCTGGCAAGCACAAAGACATGAGTTCAATCCCCGGTTCCGCAAAAAAAAA